CCTCTGTGGTGTGAGGAGGGAGAGCCATGGCCTTGGCCAGGGGCCCCCACTCTCGCCCGCGAGCAGCACGTGCTCGCTCGAAGGCCGGACGTGCAGCCGAGGGGCCAGCGGCTCTGGGGCTGTCCTGGCTCCAAGGCAGCTCCGGGCACCGACGCAGGGCCCTGGCTGCAGCCACCCCCCACCCTGGCGCTGGGTGCCCCCACACAGCGCGAGCGGGAGGGACTCGTGTGGGGTCACAGCCCACTGTGGCCAGTGTTCTTTCATTTGGAAATAAATATCACTTATGCAATATGTTAGCAGAGAAAAATGGAGGCTTTGGGGCAGCCGGCAGGGAGAAATCCTGTGTCCCTCTCCACCGCGGCCGGTGGGTGACTCAGTGTCCAACAAACGTGCTTTGAGCACCTGCCACGCCCCAGCGACACGGGAGGACACAGCCCTGAAGGAAACTCTTCCTTTGTAACCCGGTCAATCCAAGGGGCAGCCTGGTACGGCCGAGGAGCACCCCACGCCCACTCCCAGGGCACTTCCGGGCCCTCTCCTCGCGCACGGGCACGCGGGATGCGGAGGCAGGCGGGTGGCTGGGAGTCCTGTCCACGGATCTAAGTGGTCAGTCCCCCCTTGACGACATGAGCCATGGCCAGGGGAGGTTCCGGAAACATTGCCACTCCCCCTATCGCTCGGCCATGTCCAGAAGGTCGTTTGGAAATAGCAGGGAGCCTGGCGGCAGGAGCCCGGCAGCTGCGGGGACACCTGGGCTCGTCCTCCTCCGGGCCGCCACCCTCCCCCTGCGCAGGGGACGCCTCCCAGGGCCTGCTGTGTCCTGCCGTCCTGGAGCCTCCCCAGGTCTTTGCGGAGCCCCTGCAGGCTGGGGTGGGAGAATGTGTCTGGGCCCGCAGGCTCGGGGCCCCCATTGGCCCGCTCCGGGGCGGCACATTAACCGCTCGGAGCAGCCCTGGGCCGCTGTGCGGGGAGCCGCCTGGCGACCTACAGACTGGGCTGCGAAGGGCAAAGTGGCCTGTAAGAGCTTGAATGTTATCACGTGTGGCATTTCTTGCAATAAAATGGTCATATTAAAAAAGAAAAGAAATAGCCACCTGTTGAATTTCGGTGGCGTATTGGAGAATATCGACAAGGACCCAGAACCAGCATTGAAGCAGTCCCCCTTCCACCGACGATGTGTGGGGGGGTTTGGTTGTGTTCACAGACGTCAACGGAAATGACCTATTTCAGCAGATTTGTCGTAGAAACACACGCGGAAATCCAACGACCTCCTGTTAAATCAGGCACTAAAGAGATGTGCAAAATGTTTTTAAAAATTGGGGGGTGGGAGCTTTGAACTGTAAAATCTTTTTTTTTTAAATATTTTATTTCTTTTTTTAGAGAGAGGGAAAGAGAGGGAGAGAAACATCAATGTGTAAGAGGTACATCAGCTGTTGCCTCTCATTCGTTGGTTGCCTCTCACTCACCCCCAACGCAGGACCTGGCCCACAACCCAGGCACGTGCTCCGACTGGGAATCGAACCTGTGACCTTCTGGTTCTCGAGCCAGTGCTCAGTCCACTGAGCCACACCAGCCAGGGCTGAACACTAAAAGTCACTTTTGTGGATGTGTGATATGTGTTAACGTATGAAGGACTTACAGTGTTACTTTTACGTGAAAATAAACGTTTAAATTAGCCAAGTTCGCCCAGCAGAGCCGGGCTCAGAGCTCCGCTGCTCCGGACAACGTGGGTGGCCGGTCAGGGAGCCTCTGCAGGGGTGGGCCCTGTCTCACCCACACGGCCTCCTCCACCATCATTTCAGGGCCTGGGCCTGGCCCCAGGGACCCAGAGAGGGTCCCACGGGGTCCTGCCCTTAAGGAACGCGCAGCCCAGGGTGTTGCAGCTGGACTTCAGGCCCTGCCCGGAGGCCCCGCCCAGCCGGCTTCTGGGCCTTGCTCCCCCAGGGGCAGGAGCTGCTCAACCAGGAGGCCGGGCCGCCTGGGAACTGGCCTTCCGTTCCCTAGCCCCCCAGGCCACCAGTGGGAGTGTGGGGGACAGCCAGCCCTGGGTGCCCGCTGTGCCGTGGACTCGTCTCCCTCTCCCGGGCGGATTTGTCATCTCTGCTGGTTTCCAGCGAGAAGCCGGAGTGTATTTTTAGACCCAAGCAGTGGGTGGGAAGGGGGAGGCCCGGGAGGAGTGAGCAGGCGGGTGCGAGGCACACGGAGCGCCCCTCCCAGGACACCTGCGGTCTGTCTGGCCGCAGGCTGGGGCTGGGGCCCCTTCAGCGTCAGCGGGCCTTCCTTGGCTGGGAGGGTCCGGCCCAGGGAGGGAGCTGATTCCTGGAGGCCGCGAGCGAGCGCGGAGGCCGGTCCCAGGCCCGCGCTGTCTCCAGAGTCTGCACGGTAATTCACTACCAGCGCTCAGCCAGGGCGGTCACGTGTCTGCTTCCCCCAGCGAGGCAGGAAAATATGCATCCCTCGTGGGCACTGGCAGCTGGCTCCTGGGGCATGTCCCAGTCACACCCCCAAGCACCACTCAGAATCCGAGCTGGCAGGGGACGTTCGAGGTACGCCAGCCCGGCCTCTCGGCTTACAGTCGGAAAGGACACAGGGCGGTCATGACTGCCCAAGGTCACCGAGCCCGGCAGGGAAGTGGTGGGCACAGCGGAAAAAGTGAGGACACATGAGCTCGGACGTCGGGCACCGGGCCCAGGCCCACGGCTCCAGGGACGCGGCTCAGAGCGGCGGGTCGGCCTCTGCCTGCCGTCTACACCCCCGGGAGCAGGGAGGGGCAGCTGCCAGCGGGGGCCTCGCGGCGCTGGGGATAAAGTGCCCTGCCACAGGCGGTGCGGCGGCGATGGCCTCCGCCAGCAGCCTCGCCTGCGGGGACGCCCAGGCCCTGTCCCTGTGCCCGGGAAGGGGCAGTCACCTGCTTTCCTCTCCTTTAAGGGGTGTGCTCCCAAATCCCTGGGAAGGGACCCCTCCCTATGCCGGGTGAGGTGGGGACACTTGAGCATAAGGGACGGGCCAAGGCTTCGAGCGGCTTGGCATCTGAACCTGAAGATGAGACGGCACATGGAGAATAAGTACCATCGGCGGCCGAAGGGACGGACCAAGCGTCCACGCTCAGCAGTGCAGGCTACGTTGTTTGGACCAACTCTCTTTTGAAACAAGTAACATTTTGGATTAAAAAAAAAAAAAGTCATTTTAAAAAATCATGTTAAAAGCCCCTCAGAGTGGCCAGGGACGCAGAGAGCCTGGGGCCCCGTGCATTTGGGGACCAGGAGCCTGGGGACAGCGCTGCCGCCCGGCCTGCTCTGTGGGTCTCCTCCCGCCCGGAAAGGCTAGGCCTTGACCTTGGAGGGGCGGGTCTGCGAGGACAGACAAAGGGGTCTGCGGAGTTTAACGGGGCCTCCACCTCCTACTAGGCTGGAGCCCCCTCAGGCCACGCCAGGGGAAGAGGAGACGCAGGGAGGTGTCCTGGCCGCCATGCACAAGCCCAGAACCCGCGTGCTGTCCTGGAGGGAGTTGGTGCCGGGTGGCCGGCCGGTGGCGCCCTGGGAGTCGTGGCTGCTCCGTCCTGGGCACTGCCTTAGCCATCACTCGATTGTTTTGGGGAGGACGTGCTTTAAAATACACTGACACTAACTCTTCCCCGGATGTGTTGGTCTAACCTCATGCAGTGCCTCGGCCTATCCTCCCCACCAGCCATCCAAGACCCCCACCTTCCAGGGCGGGGCCCGCACCCTCCTGCCCCCTGCCCGGGGCCCCTTCTGGAGTGTGTCCCTGTGTGGACCGCCTTCCCGCCTGCAGCCAGCCCCCTCCCCTGCCTGCCTGCCGGGCTCCCGGGCGCGGCCCCTCCTGCTCTGGGTCAGGTGAGGTGCCCGTCTGCCAGGGCCCGAGCAGGTGTGACGCCCGCGGCTCCCTCGCTTGGGCAGGATTTCATAGTTCACGCGGCAGGTCTCCACACGCGCCGAGCGTTGCCTGGAAAGTAAACACGGTGAATCAGTCTGGAGGAGAGAGCAGCCACGCCAGGCTCGGGGGCCGGCCGGAGGCCTCTGCCGTGCTGTGTTCCAGTGGGTCTGGGCTTAGGCCTTAGAAAAAAACACTTTCCACGGCTCTGGGGGCCGACCAGGGGCGGCCACGTCAGAACCCACTGCCCCTGCCACCGCCCTCGGCCCTTCATCCGAGGCGTTTTGATTAAGGAAGAGTCACTTTCCGCAACAAAGGACTTCAGGGGAGAAAGGATATTTCTTGAAATTGCCTATGTGACGTTCACAGGAAACTCCTCGCCACACCCTCTCTGTTTTCCCCCATTCACCGCAAACCAGGGGCGTTTTGTCAAATGCAGCCTGTCCCTCCAGGAGCCCGGGGAGGGTGGTCCAGTTCCTCACTCTAGCGAGAACTGAGGCCCGCAGGTGCCGCGCCACCCTGACTGCGTACTCGCAGGGTGGTGGAGCCTCTGTGTCCCAGGTGCGCGCTGGGCTTGGGGACAGGGCGGAGAGTGGGGCGAGGGCTCCCCACTGCCATGGCGCTAGCCGCTGGGGTCCCCGGGCAGCACGGGCTCGGTTCTGGTTCCGGCTGCCCTGACTGGCTTGCGGGGCAGCTCTACAAAAGGCAGATGCCAGGGCAGGTCTGCAGGTCATGTGAGGGAGCAAACAAGAGACCGCTGGCCTGGAGGCAGAGCAGCTTCAGGGCTCAGCCAATGCCAGCTGCTTCGAGAGGCGAGGCGAGCCAGGCAGGGGTGCGGCCCCTGCAGAGGCGGCGCTGGGCTAGACCAAGGCTGCGCGGGGGGCGAGGGAGGCACCATCCCAGGAGGGCTGGAGGCCAGGCGGGCTTCCTGGAGGAGGTGACCTTGGCAGAGGCCTAGGCAGGTGGTCCTCACGTCTCGAATATGACCCCCCCCATTGGGCCCTGTCCCTGCACGTCCTCCACACTTCCCCCCTCCACACTCCCCCCCGCCCCATTCTCACCCCGCGCCCGTGCGGGCTGTCCTCGCTGCCGCCTTCTACAGACGGGGACGTGCAGGCAGAGGGTCAAGCCGTTTGTCCATGGCTATAGCAGGAGCAAGGGTGTTGAATCCAGGTCTGTTGGACGGCGAACCCCGGGTCCTGCCCCTCGTTTTGGGAGGGAGCTGGGTGGGCACCGCAGGCCGCGGCGGTGACGGGCACCTGCACCTGCACTCTGTGTGCGTCTGCGGGTCAACACGCCACGCCCTGTTTCCACACCGCACCCCGCCCCGCCCCCGCCCGCCCACGGCAGGGCAGCTCATGGCGGGGACCCCGGCCCGGGCCGCGCCCCTGCGAACCCGGCCTCCACGCAGACCTGCGTGCCCCTCACGGACGGAGCTCACCACATGTCACTCTGCAGCGACACTGGGCCACCAGGCCACACGGGGCCTGGTGCTCCAAGCCCGTGCCTGGAACTGGACAAAAGACATCACTGACCCAGCTGCTGTCCCCCTGCCCTTGAGACAGCAGGGCCTGGGACAGCGCGTGCCGACCGGGAGGGTGCTGACCCCGGGAGGGCCCGAGGAGGGGGCGGCGTGGCTTCCCAAGAACAACAGGGACACATCAGAGGCAAGGGCCCACGTCCGGGTCCATGAACTTTGGCCGGCGACAGGTTAATCATCAAAGGGGCCGCGTCTAGACAGCAGCTGCTGGGGCCGCAGACCTTCCAGCCCCTGCAGACCTCTGTTCCCACGCCCCCCGCCCCACCTGCCGCTTTGGGAGGAATTCCTTGGCGGGTATCCCTTAGTGTTTCTTACCACCTGAGCCAGCGGAGCCGCACGCTCCCTCTGGCCACGGATGGCTGCCTGGCCAGCCCGGCCCGCCTCTGCCCACCCGGTTCACCTTACCCTGTCCCTACCCTGGAGCACGTGCCGCCCGCCACATGGGGGGCTGACAGGGGCCCTCAGCGCCACGCGCCTGGGTCTGCTGGGAACAGCAGCCGGGGCCGGGCCTGTGCTTCTGGACCAGACAGCCACCGCCGGGGTGCTCGGTGGCAGGTGGGGGTGGCAGCGAGGGGCTGGTCGCCAGGAGCCTGGTTCGTGCTCCCCCTTGGAGACCTTGGCCGGCAACGTTACTTGCTCTCCTCACCTCTAAAAGTGGGGCTGAACCCCGCTGCCTTGGGGAACTGCTGTGGGTTCCATGTAAAGGGACGAGGCTCCGCTCCCAGGGCCCGTGAGGTTGTGCCATCGCTGCTGGGACGGCAGGCCCACACGCACCCCCCGTGGGCCCCGCCGAGGCCCAGCGCGGGCCGGGGGGCAGCTCTGGGCTGGCCGACAGTGAGGTCTCCCTTTTCCAGCCCATGTCCCCGGCCCCCTGCGGACTCCCACCACCTGACCTGAGGGCACACGTCCAGGAGATCAGAGGCCACTGGCCTGGCTGGTGATATCCTGGGAACACACCCTCCATTGCACCAGGAGGCTTTGCAGATCAGCGAAGAGCAAAGCGGTGACCCATGAGGCCTTGGGAAATTCCTGGAAAAGGCTTACTAAGCTGGAGGACAAACAGACAGGCTTCAGCCTGGACTCCCAGACCCGGGAAGACACGTTCCCCTGGCAGAGGTCAGGGTCAGCGGCCAGGCCTCCCTCTCTCTCTGAACACAGGTGGCCGACACCACCTGCTTGCACTCTAACCTGCTGCCTAGTCTCGAGCGGCAGACCCCTACCATTTCTGGTTGCCTCCCCAACCGCTACCAACTTCCCCTCCTCTAAATGTCCCAGCTTCCTGATTTGGGGGCTGGGGGGGGGGCGTGGCGCAAGAGAGAGCCTGGCTGCTCTGGTGGGCCTCGGCAGGTCCCTATGTCGGGGGCTCTGCAGGGCCGCCCGCTGTCCTGGGCCTTGCGTCTTCAACGTTAGAAACTGGGAAAAGGAACCTGAAACAGCATGAATGCCCCACAGATGGAAGACATGGGTGAGGGTACACATGCCCCAAATGCCCCCAGTGTTTACAGAGGCTCCAAAGAGGAACTCAGCTGGTGCACAGACATGTTTTCAAGAGCACCAATTTGTCCCCACGGTTCTAGGAGCCGCTCAGCCCCTGCCTGGGAGGCTGTCTCTGTTCTGTTCAGTTGCCCACACGCCGTCAAAGCCAAGAGAGGTAAGGAGTAGGGGGGGGAGGAACTTGCAGAAGTGGGGGGACAGGGCAGGAGTGTCCTTCGCGCCGGCTTCTCCTATGTGGGCTGTCGGGAGGCCTTCGTGGCAGACAGTGACCCGCAGTCCCCCAGGGGGGCAGGATGGAGCCACTTCTGTCTAGGATTCGCCTCTGAGAAAAGCCTTGCCCTTCCTTCCACTTTCTACCTGGGCAGAGGCGGGGGAACTGGCTGCGAGCATGTATTCCACAATGACAGATTTCAACACAAGCATGGACAGCAAGACCTCTCTCCATGGAACCTTGGGAGCCCTGAGAACCCAGGAATGACATCCCTCTGCGTCCGTTGGGCGTACCCACTCCCCTGCGGAACCCTGCACAGCCTGCTCTGTCCGCAGTCAAAGCTGTTTGTGCCGGGTCTCCCCAACAGCCTGGTGAAACTGGATTTATAACACTCATGGTGCATCAGGGAAAAGAAGCCAACACCCGTGCCTTGGGACTCTGGGTGCTTGGCAGCCTGGGACCCGGCCTACGTCAGGTGGGGTCTCGGAGCCTGGATGTCTTGGTTGGCTTCCGTCGCTGCTGCATTCATGACGCCCAGCACGATACGGCCCTGGATGCATAAATCAGTAATACTGGTGCCTGCCCAGCCTGTGTGATAGATAGCCAGGATATAATGAACACAGATCGCCTTGTCAGCTTGGAAACATAGTATAAAACATTGGCAAGTGCAATAAAAGTTGGGCTTGTCAGTGTGGGCGGGGGTAGGGTATGTGGGCGTCCGCAGGGTGGGGCAAAGTTCACTCCGGGAATGGGGCTAATCAACAAGGGTGAGTTTCCGATACCGGTGAAGGGGTCACGTGGGCGAGCGCCCCAGGGTCTCTGCCTAACGCAGGATTTGTTTGGAGGGGTGTTTCCTGCCCTGACTAGGTGCTCCTGGGCGCTGGGCGCTACAAATAGAACAGCGGGGGAGGTGGGGCTGGTGTGGGGAGGAGGGTTGGCATAGGACACATTTCGTTCCCAGAGGAGGGGAGTCCTGATGCGCTGGCTCCGGGGCTTCGTGCATTCTGCGCAGGGAGCTCAGGCGTCGCTGTGCTTACAGAACCGCTTTGCAGCCCACCCTCCGCCCCCGCTACTGCTCACCAGCGGCAGCCGAGCGGTGACCCGCCTCCCCGGGCTGGCAGAGGCCCAGCGCCTTGGCGGGACAAAGTCAGCCCTTTGCCCCGACGCACCAGGAGAGCGGGCACCGCTGTACCGCAGCCCTGGCCGGACAGGGGCGGGTGGTCAGAGTTGGCAGCGCGTCCCCGTGCCCGTCCTGGTTGCCCTTCGCTCCATCTCCGCACCCGGCCCGTCGCCCCGGCACCTCCGCCACCTGTTGACTCGTCCTCCCAGCTTGCGTTCCCTTTCTGCTACTGTTGCATCCTGGGGTCCCGGGGACAGGGTCTTTCCCTGCCTGCCCCGCACCTCGCGAACCCCCGAAACTCGAGGGCACAGCGCCTCGGCCGGCTCATCGTACGGACCGGCAGAGCCGAGTTGCTGAGATGGGGGAAGGGGCCTCGCCAGCGCAGCCCGGGTGCCGGGCGGGAACCTCCACCCGTCTCCCAGCCCGGCGCCCACCAGCGCCTGGACTTTAGCCCCTTCCGGTGCGCGGGGCTGGACGTGCGCCGAAGCCCAGCTGCACGCGGGGTCCCATCGCAGCACCGTTCGCGCCCGCCCCGTGACCTTAGCAGGCCCTCCTCCCCCCGCCCCGCCTCAGTTTCCCCACCGGTGCAGCCACGAGGGGCACGGTGAGGGAGCCACGAAGAGCGGCCCCGCCCCGCCTCGTGGGGAGCCAATCGGGCGCCTCCATCCGGGGGGTGTGTCCCGCCCCCAGTAGCGGCTGGGGGGCCCGGGGGCGGGTCCGGAGGTCCGGGGCGGGGTCAGGGTCGGGAGGGGGGCCTCGGGGCGGGGCTTCCGGGCCAGCCCCCAGCGCGAGCCGCCCGCGCTACCCGGCCGGTCTGGGAGTCCGAGGGGCGGCGCGTGCCGCGGGGGTGCGGCTGGCACAGGCGCGGGAGGCGGCGCCGGGCATGGGCTGGGGACGCGGCGGCCCCAAGACTGGGGCGGCGGGCGACGGGGGCGGAGGCGGCCGCTAGCTCTGGGCCCGGTGCCGCCTCCCTCGGCGCGGTCGCCCGGCAGACCGGCAGGCGACGGACCGGTCCCAGGTGCTCGGGGGCGAACGGGCGCGCGCGGGGTTCTGCGGGCCTGGCGGCCCCCCTGCCCCGGGACCCAAGGCGGCGGCGGACGGGGGAGGGGCCGGGGCCGACGGCGCATGCGCGGGGCCCGGGGGCGCGGGCCGAGGGCGCCCGCCGCGGGTTCACGCGGGGGAGCCCTGGGCCCAGGGGGCCGCCCCCTGCTCCGCCTCCTTCCTGAAGCCCTGGTGTCCACGACTGTCCCTGGGGCTGGGGGCTGCGCGGAGGTCGAGTCCGGGACCTCAGAGCACTGGTCCTCTGGTTGTTACCCGGGAGGAAAGGCCCACCAGGCGGGGCGGCCGGCGCGCCCTCCCCTCGGCACGGTGGAGTTTGGGCGTCACCGACGAGAGGGGGCGTTTCCCGAGATCCCTGGGGGTCCCCGGAGCTAGGTAGCCCGAGGCTGCGACAGTCCGACCCTCAGGGTCGGGCGCCCGGCGGCTGCGGTCTGAAAGGAAAAGCTCACTGGCGGGTTAGTTCACAACCAATGGGCACCTTTGAGGAACTGCCCCACTTTGAGCCCGAGCGCAGGCGACGACCCGGCCGGGACAGGCGAGCCCAGGGCAGGCTCCGCTGCGTGACTCCTTCCCGAGCCCCTGGCCCCCGTGGCGTCCGCGCCCAGGTCCCCGGCTCCTGGCACCGCGGCCCCGAGGCGCAGGGTGGTGGCTTGGCGAAAGTCCCGAGGGTCGGTTCTGCCTCGCTCCCACCCCAAACCAGCAAGGGATCGCTGCACGCCCTGGTTTTCCTCCTCTTTTTAAGTTTAAAGGAGGACCGGCGTGCAGCAAATGTCAAGGTTCTTTCTAAGAAAAGTCCGTGGTTGTATAATGCCTGGGCTTTCGCGGGGCATTCGTAGGCGTTTCCCCCAGCCCCAGCCACCCTTCCCCAAACGAGAGCCCCCTCGATCCAGGGGCTGCTTGGGAAGCGGTGGACGGGGAATGGGCATGGGGAGGGGCCCAGGGTTCCTGGGAGTGACCCTGCCAGACCACTGCCTTTGAAGAAGCGGGGTCACGGTGACTTTTGTCGCCCAAGGTGGTGGAGCGCTGGGGAGAATCCAGAGGACATATTGTAACCATTTCCTCCTTTACCTTCTTACTGCCAAGGCCACAGTGAAAGGCGCTGCCTTCTCCCTGAAGCAACCGTTTGTGGCAAGACAAGCTCTGTACCAAGACACTCATTGCAGGTAAATAGAAGGTTTGATTTACTGTGGTTACCAGGCCAGAATGTTGAAGTGTTTACTTCTGTTGTCCTGCAGACTAGCCATTTGGGGGTTAATTATTGCTTTGTGATTAAATGTCGGCTATATTTATAGTGCCTTGAAAGTAAGATGAATGCAGGTAGATGCCCTTTTAGGTTCTGAAAACTTTCTTGTGTCAGTCTCACCGGGAGCCTCACGGCTTCGGGGCAGGCCGGCTCCGTGTAATTCAAACACCCCGTGAGAAATGGTGTTGCCTAGCAGACACCGCTGCCCCGGGCACGGACGGGCGCGCTGTTTTAATTCCAATTTGACCAGGAAGCCGATGGCTTGCTGAGGTCGCCGTCGGCTGGGACTGCCCTCCGCTGGGGCAGGGCTGGCCCGGAGAAGGGGCCCGGAGGCTGCAGATCGGGCGGCCGCTGTCCCCGAGGGGCCGAAGAGTGAGCTGGCAAGTCACACAACTTGGAAGCCAAAGCAAATTAATGGACAGCAGAAAGCAAGGGCTCCTCTCTGTTTTCCTATCCTTTAGACATGCAATACGTTCTTCTATCATCATAAATAGTTCTTATGACTGTCGTTTGTCAAACTTGGAAACAGATTTTTAAACATTGTATGTGTACATGGGAGGACCAGGAGGGTTTGGGGGAAACGTGTTTCTTCTGTGTAAACTATTTTGTAATCTGCATTGACTATTAGGTTATGAAAAATATTTCTGCATGAGCAAATTTGGTCATGTTTCCCCATTTAAAATGTCTATATAATATTCCATTGCTTTTCAATTTCGTACGTATTTAGCCAATCCATAGATATGGGTACTTAAAAATTTATGTTTTTAAATTTATTATTCTATAAATATTTGTGGAGTAGCTGCTATTGAGCAAGGCAACCATGGATCTGCTCAGGAAGCCAATTTTTATACCAGAATAGAAAAAAGAAAGGTGGGGATTGTCTTCGTCATCTTAAAAGATGGTGCTGGAACGCAGAAGGGAAACTATTTTTGCCATAATATTTTGCTCTTTTTCTGGCATGCTGTCTGCGAGCCGCTGTGTTTTTATAATTAATATTCTTTTAAGTAATCTTTTTAAACATTTTAATGAAAATATTTCTCTGCTCCTTGTAAACCGACTTTAAACTCTCCAGAGCCTCGTCCCTCCTTTCCCTCTCTCGCAGCCTCCGTGTGTGAGGCTCTGTTCCGAACCGCGGATGCGCTGGGGGGGTCCTCCCTTCCAGGGGGTGGGGCGTTGCGTTGGGGCGCACTTGTCACGTCCAGTTGGAGGGTGTGGCCTGTAGGGTGATTCCTGCCATTTTGGAAGTTGAAGACCTCTGCGTTTATTTTTGCTTTTCGGTAGCATGGTAGAGAGTCAGTCTCAAATGTTTCAGCCCCACGCACGTGAAGGCATAGTGTCTGCTTGCAGGGTGCACATTCCTCGTGTCTCTTGCTTCCGCCTCATTGGTCACATAGAGCCGGCCCGCTCTCCTCTGGGGCCACGTGGTCAGGGAAGACAGGCAAAGCATTCTACCTTCCAGCCTCGTGTCACGTAGTAGTTTTAAGGCACGAGCCAAACAGGAGGAGCCCCGGTGTCCTGCTGGGCTGAATCCAAAGCGCTCCTCCCTTCTCCCCGGTGTTCCGTGGCGCACAGGCCGCACGCACGTCGGTTTTCCAGCCTGTTCTGTGAGTCGCAGACCCGGTGTGCCCGATTTGCCCGTGGTCGGGGGGTGTGTTCGTTGTTTGCGTCGAGAGTGTTTAACGACAGCATCGCGGGGCAGCGATGTCGCGCTGTCGGGAGGAGTGTCTGCCCTCAGAACGGGAGGAATCGACACTCAGCCGGCAGCCCTCGTGGAGTTACTTTTGAGGCTGAGCTGCGTGTGCTCCAAGGTCAGCGCGTAGTGCGAGGAAAGGGTTGGACAGGTGTGGCTTGCGTCGGGGAAGCGGCCGGTAGGTGTCGGAGCGGCATCGGGCTGCTTGCCAGAGGCCAGGATTCCCGTGCGCAAGCTGCTGCCCGCCAGGCCGGGCAACCTGGGCCCCTCTCCGGACGGCCGTTTTCCCTCCAGATAGAGGATTTCCCCTTCGTTCCGTCTCAGGGGTTGGAAGGCTCAACAGTCCTGTCTTAGGTCAAGATTCTTGTGAAACGTGAGACCCCACGGGCAGCCCAGGAGGCGTCTTAGGAAGCAGCCTCCTGCCGCCGGCTCCTCTCACGTGGCCACGCCTAATGCCTGCGCTGTGTTTGCTCCGACCATTTTATAATGTTTTGAAGGTTTTCTGAAGAAA